GGAAGGAGGGGAGGGTCCTCTGAACACGTCTGGGGCCTAAGCTGGGTCCCGATATTCGCTGTGGGACCCACTGGACCCACACGGTCCCTTGTCTGGGAGTGGCATGGGGAGACTTCTGCCCTTGGGCAGTTGTGGAAAATGAAGGGGCCCTGGAGGGCTGGCTGGAGGGAGACTATCTTCCCTTCTGTTCAAAGGGGTCCGGGCTCTGGGGATTGTCCCCGAGTATTTCTTGTTCTGTCTGGTCCTTTCGAGGCCTCGCTCGCCTTTTGCCCCGAGTGTTCCCAGGAGGGACAGTCCATCTAGATGTTCTCCAGGACCAAGGACCCACTGTTCTTCCTCAGTGGCCCAGGAAAATGAAGCCCCCTCCTGTAGGGACAGCTCAGAATGGTGGAGTCCACAGTCCCTCCCCGAGAGCCGTGGTTTCCACGAGCACAGAGGCTGCTTTAGAGACAGTAGATCATTTTCATCCCCAAAACCAAACACACTCCTGCTCAGACGGCATCATTTCTAAAGCAGCCTCACTGGTTAGACTGAAGGGCCACGGTAGCCCAAGTGATGAGCGGGGTAGAACGGAGCAGTCAGGAGAGATCTTGTTCTCCGCAGGAAACTGGGCATCTCTGTGGTCCTGAGCATCCCAGGAGAGAGATCGTACAGAGACCTCTGGTGCCTGATCCCAGTTCACATCCACATCCCTGGTATAGCCCACGATGGGCCCTTCACCCTTGGCAGGTGGACACCATTCAACCTGCCAGGGCAGGTGTGTGTGCATTTCATGGCATTTGGGAACGAGATTCTCTGTCCAGGTCCCACTCTTCTCGTGTCCTTGGGAAGATGTCATCCCCTGCTTGGAGCTTCAGACTCCAGAGACCCATGGAGGTGTGGGCCATGGGGTCTGGCCCCTTTTCACCTGGGGGCGGTGGTGGAATGAAGGTTATACAACCAGCCAGCATCTGGGAGCCCGGTGGGAGCAATTCAGGTTTTCTCTGAAGCTCTCGGGTACAATGTAACCTTTAGACAATTTTGTCTCACAGGATGGACATGGTAGAGGACGTGGACAGTTTGTGGGCACAGGAGCGAGAGGATATCATCATGAACTATGAGAAGGTACAGGTCGGTCTGCTTCTTGGAGGGAGGCCTGTTCCAGTGCACCCTGGTCAAAGGGTCCTGGGCTCCCTAGGAGCACAGGGTGGGCACGGGTGGCCACTACCCCCAGGCCCTTGCACCCTTTACCTTTGACCCCTCACCAAGGCTTCCTCTGGGTTACAGGGACACCGAGCTGGGCTGCCCGAGGACATTGGGCCTGAGCCTGTTGGAATCTACAACAACATTGGTCGCTTTGGAATTCTGCAGTGAGTCCTCTGTGCTCCCCTCACCCCTGAAGCACCTGTCTCAGCTCAGGGACGGGTTTGCTTTTAGGAAGGCCTTTCTGAGGCAGGACATGTCCTGCCAGGTCGGGTCAACCTCCTTTCCAGGGTCAGAATTCCTCCCTGGTTCCCCTGCAGGTCCAGCCTGAGGTTGCTGTTAGGCCAGAGGTGCGGGGCCCATCTAGGGAGCGGGTGGGAATGGAGACTGG